TAAGTTTTCTTAGATAATTAAATTTATTAATAATAATAAGTTAATTTCAAAGTAAATGGCGAAACCTTGCTACCTAAATAGGTAATTACTGTACTTTAGGATAAGCAGTGTTCTTCCCTATACAGCATAATGGCACAAAATATATAAAAAAAGGAACAGTAATAAGGAAAATAAATATGAAAACCATATTTCAATACTTTTTTATGTGATTGATGGAAATTTATAATTATACTCGTATACAGTCCACACACGTTTTTTACTTGTATATAACATTATAAAAATTGTGTTCCACAAAAAAAAAATACTTAAATTATAGTAAAACCACTAAAACTAAACCACTAAATCGATTTTTATAAAATTTACATGGGACCAATCTGTGAGTATATCCTTTTAGATAAGTAAAAATTTTATAAAATTGGTTTACAACTAGCGGCGTTACAAGATAATATACAAAAATACAATCGAATTGAAAATCTCTCTTTTTAAAGTCGGTTGAATAAATTGTATGATAGCTAATTTCTATATACTCGTAAATACCTATGTTTAAAGAATACCTATTTACGTAAAATATACAATAAAAATAATCGGCTAAAACCCTTACCAGAAATTTACATAGGAGTAGAAAATAGAACTATAAACAACGACTTTCCTGCTTTATATAATTTAGTTTAATAATTTTAGTGTAAGAAGGTAATTTGCGTTTACAAACACAATATCTCCCACACACGGTTTTTGAGTGTATATTAGATACTAAACATATATTTTAGAAACTAATTCACATTTTGTTGTGATAGCTAAATTCTGAGCTACAAATCGCTAGCAGAAGCTAGTGTAATATTATATATAGGTTTATTTAAATGACAGGCGTCAGAGACTCGCTATGGGTCAACAAGTGAAAAACAAAAACAGAATTCACAATTTCATAAAAATATGTATTTTAATCTTGATGTTGTAAGTATAAGACTAACAGAGAGGTAACTTCATTAAAATATTATTTGTTATCATCGTATTAATTTATACAGAGTTGGCAAAGTTATCGCATGTGATATTCCATCTCTCATTCGATTATTTATATTTTTGTGTGTTCCACTACACACAAAAAAATAACAATCGAGTTAACACGATTGAACGTCCACCTTTTTGAAGTTGGTTCATAAAAGAACACCTTGTACATTGAATCATGCTTATAAACCTAACAGTTTCCTCTAGAAACCACAGAGTTTGACAGGTGATGATTCTTACCCAAAATGTTCCTTAGTCCATTACTCCAGCAACCTCTATTGTCTGAAATTTACAGTTACGACTTAAATACAAATTAGGCAGGAAGGCTAATGGCTTATAAGAATTAATACCATCGTTAATCAGTAACCGCTCGTAAATCTCGTGAACCACTGTAATTTTCGCACTGAAATAAATCTTGTAATTAAGACTCTAAAATACATTGACGAAATCACAAAGACTTCTTTAGTGGACTCTTTTTTCACATCAATCAGATATTTAATTCTTAAAACTTAAATTAGAGGAAGTCTTTGTACAAAGTTGTTTGCGTTCTCCTCTATCTCACTTGTTTCTGTCGTTAAGCAGTTATTTATATAGGTGAATCAAGACCTTTATGTCGTAAGGGTCGCAACGCGCGAGTGACTTAAAGGTACATTATACTGTCAAGTACAGGGACAGACTTTAGTACAGAGTAGAAATGAAAAGTGATATCATTAGTTTATTTCAAAAGTATATGAGACTAGCAACCCGCTCTGGATTCACGCAGGTATATATTTTTCCTCTATTCAATAATGCAGCGCCTATGTATTTCTCGGTTTGGCCAATGGTTGACTGGTAGAGAACACCGTCCGGTCTTAAGTCCGCCAATTGTACATAGAATTTTACTGTGCATTAAAGTTTAAATAAATAAATATATAGGTAGAATTTTTTTGAGTTTACCTATTATAAAGAGAAGATCTAATGTTTTCTCTTTATAACAGTAGTAATTGCACGTTTTGTAACTTAACAATATTAGCAAGGCACTGTATATCAGCTGAGCAAAATGTTATTTTGCTTAGTTTTCCAATTATTTATTGATTCGGCAATGTCTAATAATAAAAAAAACAATTTTTAATGATAATAGTGAAATTGTAACCCCGTATACGCTATCGGAGTACAAGTGAGTAAAAATAGATGAAATGAAAAGAGGCCACTAAGATAATCATAATGAATTTATTAGGAATTAACCATGATGGTTTTCATGGAGGACAGTATGGACCTGACGTGGCATTTTTTTAGCAAGGAGAATTAATTTGCTTTTTTTTTACAATGCCTTTCCCTCGATAATAAAATATTGGTATCACAATAAATTTCTCAAGATATTGTTCACTGTCCACTTGTAAACTTTCCACTGCTGAACATAAGCCTCCCCCTTAAGGGGTTTTGCCAGTAGTTGCCACGCTTGGCAGGCGGGTTGGCAACCGCAGTTAGACTATAGAGATATTTTAAGAGGGACACTGCTGCCCATCCCTCGCCCTCCTTAGTCGATTCTTATGACACCTACCGCAAAGGAACGGGTGGCCTACTCTATTTCGGGACCACACGGCAAGATATTGTTGCGACGTCATAATTAATAAATATTGATAAATATATTTAACAAAAGGAAGTATATTTTACTGAACTAGGTATTATCTGAGGATAGGTCCATACCACTATTTGGCAGTTGGAGACAGATGGCTAATATGAAAAATTGTGGCACTTACTATGGTTACTAGTATAGTATTATATTATCTGTAGTATTAACAGTGGTGGGCAATTTTTGAGTGTTGGCAGTCACACATACTAATGGTAGCAGAATTAAATATTATATAATTCTAATCGAATAACCAGTGAAAAGAGGTATAGTTTTAATAATAAATTTCTAATATCAAAAAGGCACTGTATATTATACCGATATACTTCTCGGCAATTTCCTCAGGCTATTGTCCTGTCCCGAAATGAATTATGTTCAATAGTAGCTATTTGTTGATTTTTATTTCCACTGACATTCCTGTTGCAGACATATCAATACAATAAACACGATTTATTTTGTAAGTAGGTAGATCGTTTTTGCTTTTAGCTCCATTTGATTCGACTGCTATAATTTAATATATATATCTCGAAACTAGTACGATAACGACATAGTAGATATAGGTACTGGATACAGGTAAAATATTTTTTTTAGTTCTATCCTTTTTTTTTGTAATTTTGTTATAAGAATAGATCAAAGCTTGATAGAGGGAGACTTTGTCCAAAACTCGTTTGTTTGGGTACCTCTGTCTCATTCGTATTTCTGTCGTGAAACGAATATGTTTGAATAACTCTTTCTATAGCACTGAGGTAGCAAACAAACATACGGCTCACCTGCTGGTAAGCGGTTACCGTAGCCTATGAACATCTGCAATACCAAGACATGGTACCTATTTAATGCTTTAAGAGATATTAAGACCCTGAAGAGAGCCACAGCAAATGTTTTTTTAGCAGTGTATGCTATATTTCTGTTATGTTTCGAATTGAAGAATGAGTTATTGTAGAAGAACCCCAGCTAAACTAGTTTTATGTCCATGGTAAGAAATGATTCGACTGTTAGCTTGGTTTTCAAGTTTTATAAAAAAGTAACTACTATTACATATCTCCTAACTGACATTTATAAAGTACTAGCGTTCGTCGGAAACAACATCTATGGAATCGCGTTGTACGCGACTATCTAGGCTCTAGGATACGAGGATGAACTCTCTAATTGTTATTTCATGAGTACAGTACAAAATTTTATTGGCATCAAATTGAAGTGCTAATGATATTATTTAAGGGTAGGCCTGATGTTTACTGATTGAGATAAAACGTAGTCTATATTCTTGGTATCCCATGTACGTATATATCAAATTTCAAAATAATTCGTTAAGACAGTAAAACGCTAAAAGGTAACAAACAAACAAATTTACTTTCACGTTTATAAAATTACCTAGTAAGGATAATAGTTATAGAGATTTTTTATTGTTTTGCCTATCTCTATTTCTACGTAACATTTTTTTGGTCATATATTAAAATTGATATTTAACAAAATTTCCTTATTGGTTTCATTGTATTTTTAATGCAACGTATAATGGCAAACAACGATGTAACTGCAAAGTAGGAATTGTCACTTATAGACATGAGCAGCACGCTGGACAACCTGTTTATGGTCCTCTACAGCTACATACATTTATTTTTGACGTTCAATTTTGATCCTTAAAATGCACTGCGAATTAGTTTGAACATCACAAAAAAGTCTATTTTGTTGTACTGCCTGTAGTGTGATAGAACTTAATCATAAACTATACGCATATAATCTTTATCTCATAGTGTCGTAACCTGTATAGACGTGGAATATTTTCTTGCAAACAAAATTAATCTATAAATTTGTTTCGTTTTTCTAGACTTAAAACAACTAGAAACAATAATTATAGGAGTGTATATTTCAGTCATAAAAAAATCTTCTAAAATTACATGCTACAACATATGTGCATAATATATAAAAGGAAATTTAGCTTATAGACAATCCATAGATTACGGAGGTTTTATTTCAATTAATAAAGACGCGATAAGTTTTTCTCGCTTTGTTCAGGGCCGCAATTGCTATCCGTAATCTATATATGTCTTGTACATCCAAGTATTTTTTAATGCGGGCTACCCATAGATACATATATAGTTCCATATCTAAATAGCTACTCTTATGCGGGATCATTATTTGTCTTTCCATTGCTCCGAAAGAACTCGTTACCTATGACTACTTACCTACCTATAAAGACTTACTCTGTCTGATTTATTACGCACAGACTAAACCACTAAGGTTGAAAATCTGAAACATTGAATATAGATTCATTTTACGATGTTACGGGATGGGAAATATCGGGAGATTTCGTTCAGGTCCTTCCGTTCGGGAGAGGTCGCGATAAATAGCTGCGATAAGCAACAAGAAAGATTATATCAATAATACAACGGTACTCATACTATATTTATATATTTCTCATAAGATTATAATATAAAATATAGAAAACGTTAAAAGACAACATTATAATAAAAATATTAAAAAATAATTGCCATTTTAATTTTTACAACCATGAGTAATATCAGTCTTTAGAATTTGAATGCAAAATATAAATTTTTAATTCAATTGTACTTTGGTTTGGCTGTGTGATCCCAGCATTGAATAAAACTCCTCTTTCTTTTGTAAGAATGCTGTAAGGGAGGACTAAGGGAACTGAATGGTAGAGGGAGGGGTAGCAGTGCCGCTCTTTAAACATTACCAAAGCCTAACTACGACTGTCAACCCGCCTGCCAAGCGTGGAAATCCTCGAAAGCCTGTTTAGCGTACCTAAACATGATAGTGTAGATTATAATAGAAACCATATGGTTAGTTTTAACATTAGTTAAACTTGGAAATTATGATTATAAATGGGAATTAATATATAGTCAAGAGCACCATTCAGAACCATTCACATTAATAGATGTTTTTGTAGATTTACTTGCGTTTTTATTGTAGAATTTTTATATAAGTATGCATGGTAATTTATTATACCAATATGTACAGGTGTATATAGGAAAAGTTTTAATTGAAGCGCGTCCTTTTGTAAACAGGTCCTTAATTGCGACCATTCCTTAATAGCTAGAACAAACAACCTAAAATAGCATTGTGAACATCGCATTATAATAATAATTAATTAAATCAGAAAATTGTATATTCTTAAAATTAAATTTATTAGGACAATTAACGACATTATTATTATTATATTATAGAAGGTATTTTAAAAATTCTTAAAGTAAACTTTTTTGTTCAAAGACACCTATGATATTATGATAATGATGTATTAAATTATATTTCAATATGCACTTATAACCTATTTATACTATGGACGGTACTATTTGAAGATAAATACATTTTATAATTAAGACTGTGTTCCACAAAAAAAAATCGACTACAATTGTGGTAAAATCAATTATTTAGATTTCAAAACTAGACTACCGAGCCGATTTTGGTAAAACTTTTATTGGACCATTCTGTAAGGTATAACCTTTAAAAAATTGTTATTTTTTCAAATCGGTTTACAATTGACGGAGTTACAAATAACGGTAACCAATATAAAAATAATACAAACGAATTGAGAACCTCCTTCTTTTTGAAGTTGGTTGTAAATAATATTATTGCAATATGCACATACATTTTTAAGAACACAAAACATATCTAGCGCTTCTACAAGTTACTTATAAATTTAATGTCATCAAACATGCTTGGGCAGTCGTCAGGTAACTTGAACAAATTCACAGATGCTTCCGTATGTCATGCACCAACAAATTCTTAAGAAAATTATCGTCATTCGCGAAACATTCTACAATGTCAAAATGGTCCATATTGTCTTTTATTTCCAAATACATATTTTGCATTAGGCATGTGTTGTGCAGCAGTTCGTAAAACTCTCTGGATTGTCTTTTGAATGTGGGACTGTCATTTTGTCCCGCCAAAATGTATATCCGTACTTTTCTTTCTTGCAAATGCGTGTAAGAATCAAACTGTGGTGAAAGAGGGATGGCCCATTCGTTTGGCAGCTGGACGGCGTCATTAACAGTAGTGTGGGTAAGTTCTCGAAGGTCGTATACACCAGACACGAGGAACGCCCCACGAAGACGGGAGGATCCCACGGTACTCTCAAGGAAGTCACCGTTGGATAGGAGTTTTGCTACAAGATGCGCCCCGGCTGAGTGTCCAGCGAAGTATACTCCCCTGTAAGTAAGCAGCTGTTGGTGAAAACTAATTATACAAAATTATTATACAAAATATTATACGTTCATTATCATTATACTACATCGAGTTATACGTTATTGTTTTCATAGATTGAATTGAAGGTTGCTATTTATGTGTTACTTGAAGTACCAAACTGATTAATAAGAAATCAGTACATACCTACTTATTTTTTAAGCAACTTGGAATTGCAAAAAAAGTGGCATGACTGTTGTAAATTATACTGACAATCGTTTCTAGACAAAAATACCATTATGTAATTGACAGAATAAACTAAAATGATGCCCATCCTTTTGCATTATGCAATTCTTGAGATAAATCAGGAGTTGCAAAATTTTAACATTTACGCTCCAGTGGAGAGACGACTGGCGTGGTTTATCTATGCCTTCGCGGTGAAATGTGTGAATGGTATCTTTAAATGAAATTGCATCATTCTCCAGAGATCATACTGCACGCATATGCATGCATGGCTTTACTCAATTTTTGAAGTACGAAACAAGTGGGAAAAGATTCAAGTAAGAATTTTCTGCTATAAAATTTGTCATTCCTGGTCTAAGCTGTTAGAATTTATTCAACAACTCAATTTGAATGATAAGGCCCGATCTACATTCTGTATGTTAATGCTGAATACCGGCTGTTATCCTTCGATCTTGAATTCGTCTATAGAGCCAGATAGGAATCGCTTTGGATAAATGTATTATTTATTCATGTTAAATACTGAAAGTCAAGATAAATGAGATAACTGTTTGAGAATAAGACTTTACTTATTTTATTATCGTTAAAAGGAGAGCGTTGTCAGATTTGTTTTAATTGTAAGAATACAGTATCGATTACAGATATACACATATATATAAATAATAATTGTTATTATTTGTTTTTATTTATTATATCTCTCTTTAAGAGGTAGTTTTGGATACGGATTAAGTGTTTTTGGAGTATTAGTTGAGTAATAGGAACTAACGAACTAGGTGATTAAAACTGCTGCTTTTTTTTCGAGAAGAATATATGTGGATGGTTGTATACATATTGTATTAAGGCTAGTATAAAAGATTTTCAGTATCATACCAGTTGCAGATAAAACTATTGGGGCTCATAGCTTTTATTTATTTAATAATTTTCAGTAAGTATAACAAATATATAATATAATTTTTACAACTGAATAATATTTTTTTATCAAAAGACAAAAAATATGGTGATCATAAATTGCTGAAAACTTACAAAATCTTTATGACGATTTAGAAAGAAGGTACCATTTATAAATCACAGAATAAATCATGATGGTATAAAATTATATATTATCACATTTCAGTGATACAAATTATAGAAATCATATTTCTCACCTGCTATCCATTTTTTCAGCATATTCGAACACAAATTTGGCAGCTGACAGGATCTGATTGACAATTTCTGCCAGTGTTGCGGTCGGACAGAGGTCGTATCCCACTACAATGGTCTTGATCTTAGACCGATATAGAGGCAATGCTGGATATCTTGATATTTCTCGTGACATCTCCTGCCAATACCCCCCGTGCACGTATACAAGTATTGGTGAATCTGTGAATTTCAAATATAAAAAAGTAAGCTTTCTTTTATACATGCATAATTTACTAATAAGTATATCTATGTATCCCATAAGGGGCAAAGCACATATGAATTGTTTAGAAACCAGAAAAATATCTATCTAAAATATCTAGTATGTTATAAATACAAATAAATACATTATTCTAAGATTTTTTTTATTTATATAAAGGTACATTTCGACAGTTGCCGTAAATGAAATGAACTTAATTAACACAACACAAACAATCCGAAATTATATTAGAACAAAATAATGTTACAGACTTATGATGAGAAACATTAGCAAGGAGGCGTAAATTGGATTTCAAAATACAATTATTTAATAATAACATACTACTCAATAGAGCACAAAATTATAACTTTAATGATGTAATTAACTAAAATTTGTGATTGCGTCAATTAATATTGTTAGAATTGAGATTTTTTTACTTAATCGTGAAACACACGAGTGTTTTTCAATTTATTTTTCCACATCCTTCCACCTCATTAATTTAAGGGATGTCTGATAACAACCGCTCTACATTATGCTCTAAAGCTTACATTGTGAATCGATATGAATTTGTGTTGACATGACACTGTGAATCATAGGTTTTATGTATTTTCGTCTTAATTAATATTTGTCATTTGTTTATATACTTTTAGTGATCTAGCCCGCCTTTACACGGGTAGATAGAAAAGCTGATAATGTAGCTTACTATAGGTGGCAGAAGTTTTATAATTGATTGAGTAGTTTTTGTGTTTATCCATTACAAATAATCAAATTTTTCCTTTTTACAATATTAGTACAGATTTTATAACTCATCTAGTTAGATAGTGTTATACCGTCCTATCTTTCAAGCTTGACCATTGATTTCATTTTGTGTCTAAAGGATAATAATATTAATAGAATAATACTCTATTTCAAGATATTCCTGACGGATAAAGTTAGAAGTATACATAAATTTCTAAATAGTATGTATTTTCTGTGTTGTCCATGATGCTGCCTACGTGTACGATGTGTTGACGAAGTTTACCACTTTCATTTGATTACTTGGATCGTCAGCTTGTTTGTGAAGTCGAGTTTGTTAGCTATGAGAACAAATACTGAAATCCGCTTACCATCTGGAAGATCTGTACCGAGAATGTCTAGTTTCTGTCCATTTGTAGATCCATATTCAATTTCCAGTTTATGAGGAATTTTGTTTGTAGCAACCTCGCTGGCTGAAAATGTTACCATTTTTTAAATAGGTCATTAATTAATCATAAAATTGCAAAAACTTTAACTTTTATTGAAGATTAATAATTGTTCTCACTTCACTCGCGTGAATCAATATATAAAGTCTTCTATGTATTAAGTAAGCCTAAAACCAATCCGTGTACTAAATTTCAATCAAATCCATCGTATCATTTAAACATTATTGAATAACAAACATACTAACATCTAAATATCTTTATAAACTTTCGCATTAATTATTTTGAACACTGCATTCCAAATTAGGATATTAACAGACGAGAAACAACTGGCATTATTTGCTGTACGTCAAATACAACACATAGAATTGTTTGTTTGTAAAAATGTATAATTCATACACTCAGTATAAACGCATGTCATCTGAACTTAGCCAAATTCATGGAATGAGAAATTGTCTGCGGAGATTTAATGCAGCCGGCGGTACCGATACAGTAGATCTACATAAATGAATATATTTCGAAGTATATTATAGAAGAAGAAATGTATTAAGTAATCAAAATAAGTACAGCCAAAAAACTGCAGTCTATAAACATAAAATTTTATATAGTGGTTTTTTAGCTTATTGCATTTGGGTACTAAGAGGGGATTTCCGAGTTGCTCAGCGAGTTATGGAAAGGGCTATGCTCGGTGTTTCATTGCGTGATGGAATTCAAAATAAGGATATCCGCAGAAGAACCATTGTGAACGACATAACCCGATGGATATGCAAGCTGGAGTGGCATTGGACTTACCAGCCCATTGCTAATGATGATGATATTATAATAACAGCTTTCCAATAAAACAAAACAAAAAAAACACTAGGTATTAAATAAAACAATACTAATTATTGTTATTTACTGTTTACAGTTGAGGATAAAATGCGAGTATGACGACAAGTTGCTAGGCTAGATTATGATATGATTACATACCGTATGATAAGCAATAATAAAAATATTTTGTAAAATACAATACAAATCAAATATAGGTGTATAGTAAAAATTCATACATATTCATCACTCCGGTTTCCCATTGGAGTAGATAGGAACAATGGGATGTGAAATGCTCCGATTCAAACACACCTCTTTCGCTTCCTTCACATTCATCAATCTATTCATACACATTTGCCAGATACAGGTAGTTTTAATTTGGTCCTTTAGCACATTGCTTATTTGACCGACACGAATGGCCATTTAGGGCGGTCTCTACTGTCATCTACATTCATTCGTGCTTGATTAATCTGTTTCGTAACTTTTCTTTTATACATCAGAGGGAGACTTTGTACAAAAGTCGATTGCTTGGGTACGTCCCATTCGTGTTTCAACCGTGAAGCAGTTGTGTTTGCATGGCTGTCATCTACATTCATTCGTGCTTGATTAATCTGTTTCGTAACTTTTCTTTTATACATCCTTTCCAAATGGTCAAACTAACGCAACATTCTTTTTTCGATAAAAGAAAAATAAAAATACAGTAGACAATAAAAATATATTAGGGCTTCTGTTTTTAAATATGTCTAAGCATTGTTAAATATAATAAATATTTAGGCCACTTTAAATTGATTGAGAACATTAATGTTTGCAAATGTCTTTTTTTGCAGTTTTATTTTTAAAACAAAAATCTAAATTCTGATAAGGATTGTTATTTTTATCGTTGCGAATATAATCTATTTTAAAATATCTATAAGATAAGATTATATGCATTAGTAATGAATATTTTGACCCGTTTTAATACTTAAATCAATACCACGTAAATAGCAATATTCAGTGTCCATTTTGACTAATAAATAAAATTTAAGTCGACTATAATGGTTTATTCAATAGTAATTGAAAGAATAATTGACCAATGATTTTGTATTCTGCTTGTCGATCCAACGTATTTGAAAGAATGAAGAAGTGGCCTTTGTTTAGTGGGTTTATTTTTAGATATTAAAAAAAGCTTTCTTTCCTGCCATATTATAACGTAGTTATTACTTGCTCTGTGCGCCATACAAGTCAACCTTTTAAGTCACTAATATTTGTACATTTGAAATCAATATATTGAGAGTATTAAGTATACTTATAATACCTTCAGTTACATGCTGTACGTGATGCTGGAGCACTTCTTGAGAGGTGGCGAACCTTTCTGACCACATGCTTGGAGTATACTCCCTTTCCAAATCCAAAGATTCTAGTATAACAGACATATTGCTCGACTGCTCTTTTAACTGTGGTACCTGGAATAAATGTACAAGTGTAAATTAAAAAAAGTTGTTAAAAAACGAGACAAGTATGAATAGGACTTGCAACTGTAGTGTGTCGTTTTAGGTAAATGAAATAATTTTCTTAAAGTTGTATTTAAAAGAAACCTTAGGATAAGATAATATATTTTTTTTTATTTAGGACATGAAAGAGTTCTAATCTGTAACTATATACTTTTGAATAAAAAAGACCTTTCCAAATCGGTTTACAACTTTATGGAGTAATAAACATAAAAATACTAAATTAAGAACTTCTTCTTTTTCAAGTCGATTGAATATCATATTTTACCTGTCGATTGTACAATTTTTTATACTATTGCGGTGGCAAATAAGCATACGGCCCAGTCGATGGTAAGCGGTTACTGTAGCCTATGAACGCCTGTTGATTTGTTCACATTTATGATAGTGATATTGCCGTGGTGTCGTAAGAGGCGACTAAGGGAGAGCCGGGAATGGGCCGCAGTGTCCTTTTTAAAACATCTCTAAAGTCTAACTGTGAGTACCAATCTGTTTGCCAAGTATGGCAACTACTGGCAAAACACCGTAAGGGGGAGGCTATGTTCAGGAGTGGACAGTCAAAGGTTGTTTTGATGATGATGATGATGATAAGATAATAAAATATTATCAAATGTCAGAACATGGAGTATAAACACAAGATGGGAACCATATCAGTCTTAAAATTTATGTCTCTTTGTTACATCGCTACAAGAAAATCCTCAATGAATTTTAACAAAATTTCTCAATCGTGTATTTAAAACTTAAGTACCTGTTAAATAATATTTTTTTTAATAATTAATTAAAAGATTTATAAATTAGTAGCTTTATCTCGCGGCTTAAATTAGTAACTTGAAAAAATTAAACTCGTGAATTAGCATTCAAAATAAATATCATATGTACTAGCCGTGTGGTTCTGGCATAGAATAAGACACCCCTTCCTTTCCCTTGGGTGTCGTAAAAGCCGACTAAGAGAGGGCGAGGGACGGGCAGCAGCGGCCCTCTTAAAACATCTTCAAAGCCTGACTGCGGTTGCCAATCCGCCTGCCATCCATGGCAACTACTGACAAAACCCCAAAGGGAAGGCTTATGTGCAGCAGTGGACAGTTAAAGGTTGATATGATGATGTGCTGAGTTAGGGTACACCAAACCTACCTACTTACCTACCCGTGCACCAAATTTCATTCAAGTCCGTTCAGTAATTTTTGCGTGCAAGAATAATGACCACTTATTCATCCATTCATCCATTGTTACAAACGTTTGCATTTATTATATTAATAGGAATTACGTAGAGCTTAAATTGCTTGAAATCGCGTAAAACGCAGAAGTCTTCAATCATAAACATGTTTATTAAAAATCCCGTAGTTAGCGTTAGTATGAAAATATCACATTATGTTTACATAAATAAGGTTATTTTTTTAAAGGATGATAATGGTATAGTTAACTCCGCCTGCGCTAACTATATATACTGGCGGGGCACAAGTGAGGGATGATAGGTGAGAATGAAAGCAGGTCAGTTGGCCCAAAGTTGAGGAATTCATAAAAAAACAATCAAGATGGTTTCCATGGAGAACTGGGTGGAGGTTGACCCGATAAGGTATATTGTTAGCAATGGGGCCTCTAGTCTCATTACTAACAATACCATTCCCCCCAATAAGGTTAATTTAAATTACTTGAAGGTATGAGTAGAACACAATATGACACGACTTTTAATTAGTATTAAAAAAGTTACCTTTTCCGTCTTGAAAATCGTGCTGATATTGGTGAGAAACATATTAATTTTATATAAGAATATATGAAATAATTTCAGTTTCAACATAGTTGGTATTAGTCTTAGGTACACATGTACCCATCAGTTTATAGTTAGAAAATTAATTTCAATACTCAAGTTTAAAATTCGTAAACAGTATAACAAAATAAACATTAGAACAGAATAAATGTACGATACTTTAAAAAGTTTACTTGCGAGTTAATAACACGATAAGAAACGTGTTGTATATATACCACTATATTCGTTTATCTTATCGCAGTAACAGAATTGGTGTTTCCAAATTTTCTCTGCGATCTACCTACCGTCTAAGATAATCCAGTTGATATACTTAAGTTATTATTTTCATTTTTCCGACGCATAAAGGACAAAATCTCCTTATACATAGATATTTTATCTATTTCTTTGTCTCTATAAATAAACATGTGTCTGTATAAATATTTTTCTCATAAACGTCTGGGTAAGTTAAATAACAATTAATACTAAATTTACAGTCTAATTCTAAATGATTTTGCGTTTCTTTCCATACATTGTCTGTGAAAACAACTTTAAGTGTTGAGATATTTTTATCCACATTCAAAATAACACACCAATATCTTTTAATGCTGTAATTTATTTTAGTTTATGCAGGAATAGCATACTATTAGTTAATCATTGGTGTTTTTAAGATTATTTTCTAGGTGACCTGGTCCCTAAAAAAAGGTGTACGAATTATTTTTTGTGTTTTTAGTGGGTAACGATAGAATGGTAATGGTCCGCCTGCACTATGCTTGCGGAATACTAGTGAGTGGTGATAAGTGAGGATCAAAGCAAGTCAGTTAGCCCATTATAACGAATTTAAGGTTGAGGTCGATCTGATAGGGTGTATTGCTATCAATGATGGTGTTAAACTCCATTACTAGCAATCCCTTTTCTCCCCCGTATACATTATTGTACATATGTCTTTCAATCCTATATGTAATCTTTGATCATATTCTGTGTAGGGACCAGGCAATTCTTGTAATAGAACAGTCCATATGTCTTTAGTTTCTGTTAGAAGGATTTCATGTTAACTTAACAATCTTATATGGGATATTAATTAATATTTACAAAATTGTTTAGTTTGACTGACTACCAACACACAGCAAAAATTGCTTAATCTAGACAACTGAAATTTGAATCACAGGTTTATTTTGTAATGTAAACATCCGCTAAGAAGTGTTTTTTAATAGTTTAAGATTTTGTTCCACAAAAACATACTGACTAAAATTTTGTTCTACAAAAACACGCTACAAAACCGATTATTTTGGTTTAAAAACTAAACTATTAAACCGGTTTTAGAAAAATTTCTATGAGACCAATCTGAATGTATATCCTTTCAGATAAAAAATTATTAATCAGTTTATAAATGACGGAATTATGAGGAAAGAAATTTGAAAAAATACAACCGTATTGAGAACCTTTTTTCTTAAGTCGATTAAAAATTTTAGCTTAAAGGGAAAATACGAAATCAAACGTGTAAAGCTACGGGCAACAACTAATAGGTTGATAAGGTTTAGCGCGTCTCTCTCCATAAGGAAATGTTTCTAGTTACTTATAGCATGTTGGACAGGCGACTTAGTTAAAGTTTTAATTCGAGAGAGAACCGGTGTATTTTATCCTTTTAATCGCCTTTTAGGACATCCTGACGATGGAAAGAAATGGTGACACGTATTCATTACCTCATGAGCGCTACTTGATGAGCATGAATTATTACCAATTACCTACTTACGTACATGCATACACGTATGCATACCTAACGAATTTAATTTATTTTACTGAACTACATGTTATCTTGTTTAAGTTTATATCATTGGTTATTTAATTAAAATTATTTTGTTTAATTCCGCTACCATTAGTATGTGTATGACTGCCAAGTTCCACAACCTTCCATATTAGCCATCAATCTTCGACTACCATTTTGTTTACACACATTTTGCAACATATGTTTCACCTCTAATCTCTTTGATTATAGTTGAAACACAAAACAAACAAAAATTAATTTAGGTAATAAGAATTGTATTTAAATTTTATAAGTACTTTACTGTTGTAAAGACATCATAAGAAGTATCTAATTCAGAACATTGCCGTTTACCAACAATAAATGTAAATTATATAAGTTTTATTAACTTGTAATAAAGTTACATAAAATCATTTAGATAACATAGATAAAGTAATTGTTCATATTTCCCATTTCTATACCAGAATCGACTATAGTAAATTTTCATAGACGAAGCTTCCGTAATAGCAGAATGTCTCGAGAGAGTATGTACTTTTCTGTTTCAATAGGGGTCAGGCTAAGGAAGGGCTGGAAACGTCAGCTTTTGCTGGACATCTTTAGGAGTTGTTTACATTTTTATTAAAGCAGTACAAAATGAAACTGGCCTCTACCACACTGAAGAGTTAGTTACATTATTTAAAAAGTTTTTAAGCTGACCTACCTATAGGTACACACATATTGTCATTTTTATATTATTTTATACTCATTGTATCTTTACCCGCGTGAATCAGTGTATATAGTATTCTATGCCCTAAGTTAGGATATAACTAAACCATTGACCAAATGTCATTTAAGTCCCATAGAAATTTTATTAAAGTCCGTTCAGTATTTAAGTCTTTTAAATCAAAATACGAGTAACTTTTTTTTTACAATTGAAGTCCGTGTTTTTGTATGAAACAAAATCTACTTGTTCAGGATTATGAATAAATTATTTATTTCTGTATTATTATTTACTATAACCTTCTATGAGTTTCATCGTATCTTAATAAACACAGTCGTACAAATAGTAATAATACTAACTTCAAATAGTACCAGAGACATTTCATGGACAAACAAGATATATATCGTTATCTCTCTTTTCCGTGGAAATTTCGAGAAATATTTTTTTTCTATTTTGTTTACGTCGTAAATTGAATGTATACGTAAAATAACTAGTTTATAACCTCAACAGCTTAAGTTGTATGTCGAATGAAAAATAGATTCTATTTTAATCGGAGTAGTGAACATAATACTTAATTTTTATTTCGCCAAATACATATATTTGAATTTAACGTGACACTAATTTTCGGTTTTATTTAGTTTGTTAACTTTATCTCCACTAAAACTATAGTCAGAAATGCAAATATGCACATATAAATTAAACAAGTTCTCGACCATTTTTTTTCTGTTCATATTGGACGGCATAGAGTGCATTCGCCAAATCAAATATATATATATAATTTAATATTATTGATAAGAATAAAAGAGGAAATCAAATTATATACTTCTAAATTATTAAGACTAAATTCCTTCTCAATTATAAATACTAGAATTGAACTAGGTAAAGGAATACGAAGGGAAAGGAGGAAATTGAAAAGAACAGAATCTCGACCACTTAAAAAAGTACTAAGTACCCGTTATAGCTTATTACAAAAAGGTGCTTATTAAAAAGTTAAATACTAGGTCATTTGACTACGAGTATAAACGAATCTATTTCCTGTTTATACACTCGTATAATTTTAGTAGCAATTTGTAAAGCAGCACAATTTAATCTATAAACTGTCAGTTTTTAAGCGCATATAAGTTCCAAGAACTTTTTTTTTATTTAAATATATATTAATTGACCCTACTATTTTTGTTTTGTTCTTAATTACATCATTAAGGTTATATGTTTGTGTTTCAGTGAAAGTTTGTTGGGGCTAGAGTCGTCACAGCAATGTTTGAGTTCTGTCTAATTGTACAAGCAACTGTCCGAGGAGCGACATTGTGGACGTAAATGTCTTTAATTAAACAAACATAGATGGGTAGGGTTGGGGGCTACGAAATTAATTAAATTGGACAGCCGTTTTGAATACACAACGCATTCGTTGTTTCTTTTTAATTAAATAGAACATATGCTTAGATCATATAATTCAAGATATAGATTAAGGGTAGTAACTATGATCCTAATAAAAATGACACGCAATAGTAGTAATATTTAGATTAAGAAAATGATCAAGTCCTCAGGAATGGCAACGTATGGGGGGTATCACGGGCGAAACAGTATACTCTGTTATGTCCATGGTACTGCTCATGTTTATAGGCGACGGTTACCACTTTCTATCAGGTGGGCCGTCAGCTTGTTTGCGATTCTAAGTTGTATAAAAAAAACGAGCAAAAAAACTGGACAAAGACCAGATTAACGTTAATTGTGACATTTAGCTAACGCATATTTCAGAATAAGTGCGCCTTCATAGTTTAATAAAAAAATCCTTAGCTTAGGCGAATTTGAATTGATAACTATTTTCATGTGATATTTAATAAACAAGGTTTCACAAAGAAAATCTTTTTAATTTTTTCTTGATAAAATTTCTATGGCACTAATCTGAAAATACTATTTCTTTCGGATAAAAAGATTTTTTTTAAATCAGTTAATAACTGACAGAGTTATGAGTTAACAAGCATATAAAAAGGACACCTGCTCCTTTTTTTTAAGTCGGTTGAAAATACTTATTTCGTAAATATTCTATACAAAATAATAATCTCATATGAATAAAAATGGTGGCCACTTAAAATGATCCTAATAACTATATAAAGAATACATACCTATTTCAAGTCAGATATCGGTGAAGATAAGTATTATTATGAATTATAACATTATATCTACCTCGTAGCTTCTTATTAGACGTTAGTATATTATATTTATGTACCTTTAAACTATGTACCACTTAAACTTACAATATATATATATATATATATATATACACGTATATATATTTGTAAATCACCGGTTCTCCTGGTGCGGGATCCAATGTACTTTGCGTTGCGTTTCTAAATTTCTTGTATTTAATAAATAAATATATATATTACTCCCTCATACTGAGTAATAACAATACATTCTAATATTCACACACACATATAAGGGTAAAAAAAATTGATTATTTCTACCAGAGTGTTTGTATTGTAACAATCTAGTACCTAGTATATAAAATCATATTTTAATATTATAATACTTCGCACTTAATGGTAAGCGGCGTGTATACTTATTTCAAATAGCTATAAGAATTGTTAATTTGACGACCTACTAAAGTATAGGTACATATATAATTTTCATTATTGAGAAAGAATTAGAGAAATAACACCTTGGAATTGATCCTAATGGAGTATAAACTCGCCGTATACTCGTACTCTATTTTTTATATAATTATGTTAACAGAAAAAACCAAAAGATT